TTGAGCAGATCCACCGCCTCTTGAACCTCCTTCACCTTGTGTCCAGCTGCCCCCTCACCCTCCGTCCTGCCGAGGTACTTTCCAGAGCGCCCCCTAGTGGGGCGTTCGCCCCCCTCAAGGACATCGTAGTCCTCCTGCATCATGCCCCACGCTTGCTCGCTGATCTGCAGCTGTCCAAGGTCGACGCCGATCACATCCGAGACGTGCGCGGCGCGGCCCTGCCCCTTGACTTTCATGGCGGCCCCCTTCGTCGCCGAAATCCATTGGTGGTCCCCATCGTCGTTTTCCTTCGTCGTGGTCTCATCGTGGAAAAGCAGCGACAACACTTCGTGATCGGGCAGCAGGCGGTAGTCTCCCTTGCCGTCGGTGGCGATGAGGTCGCGCTGATCGAACGGGACCTGCGTGGAGTCGACCACAGGCTCGCGGCTGCAGTCGTAGCACTCGCATCGGAGGTAGCACGAACACTTGCCGTAGAGCGATCTCTGCTCGCACGGACACTCCTCGAGCTGTTGCGCACGTACGCAATCCCTGCCGCGAGCGTGCGGGGGGTCGTGGACGCGCACGTGCGTGTAGTCCTCCTCGCCGTTGACCGTCCGCACTGCTGGCCAGAAAAGCGCCTCACGCTTAACCTTCTTCGGTCGGTAGAACGCCTTCACCTCGTCATCAGGGAGCAGGTGGTAGTCGCCCTTGGAGTCGGGTGCCGCCAAGTCGCGCGGGTCGAACGGAACACGCGTGCAGTCACCTTCCACGCGCTTGGTCGTCTCGCCATCCCCGTAGACGCGCACGTGCGTGTACTCCTTGTTGCCGTCGACCGTCCGCACTGCTGGCCAAAAGAGGGGTTCCCGGCCCGTCGTCGCCGCCCCGGTCGGATGCTCGTTATCGCCCGTCTCCGACCTGGCCCCGCCGCCCCGCTCGTCGCCGCTGACGTCCGAGTCATCCGATGCTCCCTCCTGCCGGGCTTCACCGCGGCTGGTCGCCGTCATCACCGTTTCTTCCACGCGGAGAGGGCTACCAACGGGGCAAACACAAAGTCAGCAGCAACAAAACGACGAGGTGGCTTGGTACCGTGAGCACCAGCCATTCGCAGTTTGGTTCTTGTTTGTTTTCGAACCAAAGGAATGAGGGGAACAGATGCAGGTCACCCTTGACAAGCTGGAAAAAAAACATGAAAAAATACGGAAATACGGCACACACAGAAGCTGTCCCCTCGACCGTTCTTGGGAAGGCGGGAATCTTGAACCACAACAACATACACGAGACGTTTCAAGTGCTGGATGTGCGGGGGGATGTCACGGTGGGCATCAGGCGGACAACAAAGAGCGGTACACCGAATGTGACACTTCACGACACGACTCTCGGAGTGTTCGATATCCCAGGCTCATGAAAAACGCCCCAAGCCACCAACTGCTGCATTTTCGACTCTTGTTTCTCACATGGACATCTTCTGGCGCAGGCGCTTTAGCAACGCCACAAAGCTCCGACGGTCGGTGACGACGTCCGGTCTGTTGTGGCCATCCACGTAAACGCACTTGTGGTGCCTCGACCAACGAAAGCCGAGCTTCTGCATCCACTTATGCACGGTCCTCCGAGAAACTCCTCTCGTACCGGCAAGCTCCTCCTTCAGTAGATCTTCATGGATCCACCTGTTGAAAAGTGGACACATTGCAGGATGAGTGCATGGAAAAGGCCACGAAAACAACTGGCAACGACTTGGGAGGGTCGGGAGGAGTTTCTTTCCCATACATGAGACGGATGTTCACCACGGGAAACTGAAGTGAGGGGGGGTCACCGGTCAACTGAAAATGTACACCGCAAGCACGAAACTCCGTTCCGAAGTCAGGGATTAACTGCAGCGAAGAACTCCGTCCCGAGTTGGGATGAAGGTTGATTCCGACGCTCATATTTTGTAGGAAGAGGGTGGAGGGCGGGGTCAAAGGTGGAGGGGGGTCGCGTTGTTAATAGGGCACAAAAACACACACGGATAGCATCATGTCCCTTATATTCTACGTCCCCTTTCTCCGTTTGCCTCCCACAACAATTTCGCGCATGCGTGCGCACCTCCACCAACAACTGACATGCTTCCGTTTCCCCTATTGTAAACCACACTCACTTTTGCACGTCTGCGATTCGAAGGCGTGGCTCGTCCTTCTTCCGCCGGTACAGCCTCCGGTCGATGTACTCCCTCAGGCGGTAGCGGACGTCCTCGTCGTCGATGTAGGAGTGCGCCTCCCGCTTGTTGTACTGCCGTTTGCGAACAACGAAGGAGCCGCCGTTGCAAAACTCCTTCACCCACCGCCGCACTGTCGTCGGGTCGACCTCGGACACCTCGCCTACTTCTCTGCTGTGCGCCATTTTCGTGACCCCATCTCGGATTCTGTCGTTAGGTCGGGGCGTTATTTTCGTTTCGGGGGTAAACTGAGTATCCTTTTATCAAACAGCACCGTCGCACAGCAGCAAGTTCCCGATAGCAACATGAAGCGCCCGTGATGCAACATTACTAACGGTCACGCTCCAACGAATAGGTGCTAACGGAGGAGACGAAAGACAGGAGAAGACAGTACTGCGAATTCCCCGCCCACACTCACTCGAGTTGCAAGAAATGCTTCACGGCGCGAACAACACGGGTGGTGTGAACCACGTGTGCTTCATCCAGCTGCGTCTTCGAATCCTCCACCACTGATCCGTAATTGTTCATCTCTTCAGCCTATGGCGAAGGAGGAAGCACACGTGCGTTTTCGAGGTGTTGCCGTCAGCTGCAACTTGAGGCGATCTCGTCTCTACCGTAGCTTTCGATATCGAAGCCAAAAAAAACAGCACCAAAAACATGAAGCTCGTGGCGGTGGCGCCCTATGGGTTGCCACAACAGGCGATAAGACTGCGAGTGTCTGACGCTCAACACCTCAAGAAATATTTACGGTTCGCTGTCGTTGATAAGATTAGGTACTGCCCCCAGCACGTCCGCTCCGCTGTGGACTTCGGGGTTTGGAGCCTGCCAATTGTGGTTGTTACCACGTGTCTCACCTTCTGAAGCTTGTCGTGGGCGTTGCGGTAGGTTTCCATCAGCTCTGCCTTACGCCTCGACCAGTGCTTCAGCGTTCGGCCCCTCGCCCGAGCCAGCGCCGCAGGCGTCAATGTCTTCCGCTCTACCGGCGCTGCCTTCTTGGCGCGGCGTAGTCTCTTGGTGTTCTTGAACTGTGCCGAGGCGAGACTCGATTTGTCGCGGACCTCCTCCGGCATCATGGTCTTGTGCCCCCTCCCTGCCCCCCTCCCTGCCCCACCTTTGCGGCTGTCCCACCGGTATTGGCGCGTGGGTGCACCAAACACACCCTTGTAACGACCCTCTCGGGTGCTTCGGCGGGAGGGCGCTGGTGCGGCAAGCTCTGAGGCTGAGGGCACTCCACCACCTCGCATACTGTCGCCACCCTCACCGTTCGCCCCCGCCCCCTGCCGAACGTCGACTGTCTCTTTGCCAAGAAGCGTGGGAGTGGCAACCCTCTCGTCAGAGCTGCTGTCGCCGCTGCTGCTGCTGCTGCTGCTGCTGCTGCTGCTGCTGAAATCCAAACCGTCAAGATAACCGGCTGATGATGAGGTATCGCAGTAGTTCTCCAGCACTTCTTCGGCGTCCTCCATCTCTTGACGGCTACACCACTCCTCTATGCCAAGCCCATGGCCCGAATCTATCGACATGTCGCCGACGCTGCCGCAGTTACTGCCGGCCTCTGCATGTTCGCACGCGCCGCCGCCAGCGCCGCCGGGAGACGTGTGCGGCGCAACCTCTAAACCCTCCGCTGGCTCCTCTACTGGACCAACCTCGCCACCGACAGCGGAACTCTCCTCCTCTTCCAGCTGCTGCTGCTGCTGCCGTGCCCGCGACAAAAACGCTCCCATGGTTCGTGCCATAGCTGTCACTTGTTGCGCGATGAGCTTTTTCCTGTTGCGGTATTGTTGGCTCCGGCTCTTCGGCAGCACACGCGGCGGGATTTTTTTCGCCGCGTTTCCCGTCGCGCGTGCTGCGGACACCATCGACTGCTGTGCAAAACTCAATATCGACTGACCTCCACCACTGCTGTGTGCACCGCTGGGATCCTCATCGCCCCAGTCCTCGTCGTTGACGTCCTCGTCTGCTGCCGCCGTACCTTCCTCCTCGTCCACGTCCATCAAAATCGCGCCATCATGGCCACCCGAGAGCGCACCGCCAGCGCCTGGAGATGGAAGATCATGTTGCTGCGTCGGCTTCGGTTTCTTCGAAACCGCTCGGCCATCGGCTCCGCGCGGGCCGAACGTCTTCTTCTTGGACCGTCCCTGAGGCTTCCCCATGGTGCTTGCGTGCGTCTTTCGTGTTTTCGGGCCGCCACGTGTGCGTGTTGTTGTGTGTTCGTCTTGCCCAACGAAAAAAATCTCCCATGGGGACGGCACAACAAAAAGTTGAATATCTCGGAAACCAGATTTTTCCCGACAAAAACCACAAATACCGACCTAGATATTGAGGAGGGGAATCGTTTGCCGCTGTTTATTTTGAAATCGGTCGGTTAGTTATCCCCCGAAAAACAATACAAGTTAGCCCTCTAGATCCGGTTTTTCTCTGATATCTCCGTGAATTTACAATATTTTGACCAAAAAAAAAATACCGACCTGGCAAATCCCGACATCTGTTCAAATCCGTTGAGTTTTTTCGAATCGGCAAAGAACACACCCCTGCGAAAACAATTCAAGTTTTTCCGGTTTTGCGCCGATAAGAAGTCAAGAAAAAAAAAACTCTCCGTCACGCGATGCGCCTGCACACAGGGCGTTTTCCGGTACTTTCAGATTTCGGAACAACCACCTGTGGGCAGAGAAAAGTTGTCATTTGTGCTGGGAAAATTTTGGAT